AACTCCACGAAAATTAGATACTGCAAAGAATGTTCGGTCTGCTATGAGTGATCTCAAAAGGCCGGCATTTGTCGTCAATTTTCGTCGGAGGTCACCAGGTGCTGTTAGAAAATCCCCCAACGCAAAGTCACCAGTTTCATCGAAGCAGAAAGAGACATCTCTTTATTTACGTGGATTGAGCGCCAAGAAAACAACTTCAGCATCAACATCTTCTGTTCGTCATCCAACAACTCCGAGAATTACCAATCGAAAACTGGCGCTGACAAATAGCACTCCTAATTTGGCTTTCACTCCAAAATCTACACCTTCAAGATTACGACTGACTTCAGAGGCGAGAACTCCAGCTAGAACCTTGTCGAACGCTAAAAAGACTCCATCTACGTTGAGTATTGCTCGGACACCAGCTAAAATTAACAGAAAAGATGAACGCCAAGTTAACTCCGTCAAAGTACAGTCTAAACTATTTGAAGCAAGGACTCCAGTTAGATCAAAGTCTTCCCAAAATTTACCTGCATTCGTGGTTACCCCAGCCACACCAGCCACAAAACGCACTCGCGATAAAAATACATCGCAAAATTGTAACACATCCAGAGTGACCAATAAATTGGTTCAAACTTCTAAAACTGAAAAGAAACCTGCGATTACGTACAGACCTGGAAAGGTTTTCAACACACCTGCTAAGGCTGAAGAAAAGACTTGCTCATTTTTTGCGACTCCAAATAATATCCAAAAGTCTTCAATCTTATCAAAACGAGGAAAATTTTTTGAGACTCCTGTATCCTCTGCACAGAAGGAGAAACCGAAGATTACACCTGCTTCAAAAATTAAGAAGCCTCTTCTTGGGAGAGCTGCAAACAAAGATTACGATACGATCAGATCACCCGTCTCGGAATATATCAAATCCACTGATCCCAAATTGTTCCAGAATATCCGGAGCCACGATGATAAATTTTTATTGACCCCCAAAGGCAAACGAACTGCTACATCTGGCGAGACGCTGCGAATTAAATTAGGGAAAAATGTGAAAGAGAAGAAAAGTCAGGTAAATTAGAAACTAATACTTTTTGATTTCGAGAATTTCTTTGATTTCTTTACTCAACGAATCACGTTGAGTAAAACTACTTCACGACAAATTTCCTAAATCCTCTACCTCTGGGACGAATTTAGTTCACTTATAAATTTCTATTTTTCTTTCTTGTCATTGCTTACAGAGAGAGTCTGAAAATGACGAGAATATACCGGATACTCAACTGGATTCCTTCCCGAAAGTGATATATCAGCCATCCACCATCGTCCATGATATCGACTGCAGTCCATCACCAAAATTACGTGGAGGTCAAAAAGTTCTCAGAGAAATAAATGATCGAAGGGTAGTCATTCGTCACGAAGGTCGAATCCAGAACAGCCAATCGGACCAGTCCATTCATATCTCTAAGCCAGCGCAGAAGAGTAATTATGTTGGCCACTCTCAGACAGCTAAGAAACCGTTCAAATGATTATCGATAAAGCATCATGAAAAACCTTATAGCTATAAAATATATTATATAAATTGCTCATTGAAATAGAAATACTACAGAAGTTATTATTGTCCGACTATATTGAATAAAGTTTTATACAAATTATTTTACAGTAGTTCTCTTCGTTCTCGTCTGTATATTACATAATTAATTTATATAATATAATAATAAATTTCTCTACTTTTTACGAATTATTAATTAAGCCGTTGACAATAGAATACTTGGAGACTGAAATTAATTAATGGAGGGATGTTATTAAACTCTAGATTCCAGTTCTGGTAAACTCGATTTGATAGAATGAGATATTGTAAGGGCGATTGCTAGAGCTTTTGCAAAGATTTTAACGAGAACATGTTAGCACAGAATCATT